TGATCACCTATCATCAAGACTGAGGGACTGATCACCTATCATCAAGACTGGGGGACTGATCACCTATCATCAAGACTGAGGGACTGATCACCTATCATCAAGACTGAGGGACTGATCACCTATCATCAAGACTGTGGGACTGATCACCTATCATCAAGACTGAGGGACTGATCACCTATCATCAAGACTGGGGGACTGATCACCTATCATCAAGACTGTGGGACTGATCACCTATCATCAAGACTGGGGGACTGATCACCTATCATAAAGACTGGGGGACTGATCACCTATCATCAAGACTGGGGGACTGATCACCTATCATCAAGACTGGGGGACTGATCACCTATCATAAAGACTGGGGGACTGATCACCTATCATCAAGACTGAGGGACTGATCACCTATCATCAAGACTGAGGGACTGATCACCTATCATCAAGACTGGGGGACTGATCACCTATCATAAAGACTGGGGGACTGATCACCTATCATAAAGACTGGGGGACTGATCACCTATCATAAAGACTGGGGGACTGATCACCTATCATCAAGACTGGGGGACTGATCACCTATCATCAAGACTGGGGGACTGATCACCTATCATAAAGACTGGGGGGACTGATCACCTATCATTCAAGACTGGGGGACTGATCACCTATCATCAAGACTGGGGGACTGATCACCTATCATCAAGACTGGGGGACTGATCACCTATCATCAAGACTGTGGGACTGATCACCTATCATGAAGACTGTGGGACTGATCAACTATCATCAAGACTGTGGGACTGATCAACTATCATCAAGACTGTGGGACTGATCACCTATCATCAAGACTGTGGGACTGATCACCTATCATCAAGACTGTGGGACTGATCACCTATCATCAAGACTGGGGGACTGATCACCTATCATCAAGACTGGGGGACTGATCAACTATCATCAAGACTGAGGGACTGATCACCTATCATCAAGACTGGGGGACTGATCACCTATCATCAAGACTGTGGGACTGATCACCTATCATCAAGACTGTGGGACTGATCACCTATCATCAAGACTGGGGGACTGATCACCTATCATCAAGACTGTGGGACTGATCAACTATCATCAAGACTGTGGGACTGATCACCTATCATCAAGACTGTGGGACTGATCACCTATCATCAAGACTGTGGGACTGATCACCTATCATCAAGACTGTGGGACTGATCACCTATCATCAAGACTGTGGGACTGATCACCTATCATGAAGACTGTGGGACTGATCACCTATCATCAAGACTGGGGGACTGATCAACTATCATCAAGACTGAGGGACTGATCACCTATCATCAAGACTGTGGGACTGATCAACTATCATCAAGACTGTGGGACTGATCACCTATCATCAAGACTGTGGGACTGATCACCTATCATCAAGACTGTGGGACTGATCACCTATCATCAAGACTGGGGGACTGATCAACTATCATCAAGACTGAGGGACTGATCACCTATCATCAAGACTGTGGGACTGATCAACTATCATCAAGACTGTGGGACTGATCACCTATCATCAAGACTGTGGGACTGATCACCTATCATCAAGACTGTGGGACTGATCACCTATCATCAAGACTGGGGGACTGATCAACTATCATCAAGACTGAGGGACTGATCACCTATCATCAAGACTGTGGGACTGATCAACTATCATCAAGACTGTGGGACTGATCACCTATCATCAAGACCTGTGGGACTGATCACCTATCATCAAGACTGTGGGACTGATCACCTATCATCAAGACTGTGGGACTGATCACCTATCATGAAGACTGTGGGACTGATCACCTATCATCAAGACTGAGGGACTGATCACCTATCATCAAGACTGTGGGACTGATCACCTATCATCAAGACTGTGGGACTGATCACCTATCATCAAGACTGTGGGACTGATCACCTATCATCAAGACTGTGGGACTGATCACCTATCATCAAGACTGTGGGACTGATCACCTATCATCAAGACTGTGGGACTGATCACCTATCATCAAGACTGTGGGACTGATCAACTATCATCAAGACTGGGGGACTGATCACCTATCATCAAGACTGGGGGACTGATCACCTATCATCAAGACTGTGGGACTGATCAACTATCATCAAGACTGGGGGACTGATCACCTATCATCAAGACTGTGGGACTGATCAACTATCATCAAGACTGTGGGACTGATCACCTATCATCAAGACTGTGGGACTGATCACCTATCATCAAGACTGAGGGACTGATCACCTATCATCAAGACTGTGGGACTGATCACCTATCATCAAGACTGTGGGACTGATCACCTATCATCAAGACTGAGGGACTGATCACCTATCATCAAGACTGTGGGACTGATCACCTATCATCAAGACTGGGGGACTGATCACCTATCATCAAGACTGTGGGACTGATCACCTATCATCAAGACTGAGGGACTGATCACCTATCATCAAGACTGTGGGACTGATCACCTATCATCAAGACTGAGGGACTGATCACCTATCATCAAGACAGGTCTGAACAAATCTCGGACCTCTGCATCACAAGTGTCCTCAAAGATTTGCTAAGTCATACTATGAATTAAGGAAAGATCTCAGACGTCACCTTACGAAAGCAGACAAAGCAAATGCGATAATAATTATGGATAAGGTATATTGTAGGGGAGAAATAAACGTGTTATTAGAAGACAGGGGTACTTGCGTGCGTCTTAAAGGTTGCTTGTGTGAGTGGTAGTGGAGGAGGAGGAAGAAGAAGAAGAAGAAAAAGGAGGAGAGGAAAGAGAGAGAAGGATGGTAAGAGAGAAGGAGCAGCAACAGAAGTACAGGTGTCAAGACGGTGAGGCTGTGAGGTCCCATTTGATTATGCGGCGTAATTCTGACCTTCGTAACGCGCGCACACACCCCTTTGAAGCGCAAATACGTGCTGGATGCGCGCCCACACACGCTAGCAGCACACACACTATTATCACATTGATGGGAGACGCGCCAAACCCGTAAGGAGCATCACAGAACGCCTGGGTACTAAGGGGAAGAGCTAGCATGAAGCGAGACTAAATTCTCTTTCTGGGAAGAATGACCAAGTTCCTCCCCAGGCAGGTAGCGCCCCTGGGAGGGAGGTGGAGGGGGGGGATGAGCTTTGATCCTTGGAAAGGGAAGAGGGTAGCTTCAGTTCCTTGGATCAAGAGCTCCTTTGACAGGGTTGGCTGTACAAGTTACAGATAGGTGGAGGTCGGGAGCTGTCAAGTACAGTTACTGAAGTACGTGATCAGTACACAATACTACTACTACTACTACTACTACTACTACTAATAATAATAATAATAATAATTATTATTATTATTATTATAATATTAATGCATGACACACACACACACTATATATATATATATATATATATATATATATATATATATATATATATATATATATATATATATATATATATATATATATATATATATATATACATATATATATATATATATATAAAGAAGAGGAGAATATGCTCTCTGAATGACTCACACGGGTTCAACGGTTCTCAGAATTCTTATAGTAAGAGCTTACTCAAGTGAGGCGAGTTTATACCTGACACGGAAATTAATCCCATTGTCACCTCTCTGTCGTTAACTTATGCTGCCTTCCTGTGAGCTGCAGAAGGCAGCAGCAGCAGCAGCAGCATATTGTGTTGTTCCACGACTACGAGACTCACTCCTGCCATGAATCATACACACTCTTGTTACCTGGGTAAATCATTTTACTGTGGGACAAAAAATATTAATAATTTTTTTTTTGTTAATTTAAGGTGGGTTTAAAGAGCGTCAAACCAGGTAACCTGTTCATCACCAGTCAACAATACCTTGTATTGATAATAGTATAAAATAACAAATTGATGATTAAGATATATTTGCAACAGTTAGGTATCTTTATTGATGAAACGTTTCGCCTATACAGTAGGCTTCTTCAGTCACATACAGAGACAGCAGGTGTAGTAGTGAAATTAAGATGATGTAATCAGTCCATCAACCTTGGAGAAAAAGTATTTTAGCTGGTGAGTCCCTCAGCCTGGAGAAGACTTCAGCTTATTATTTTTTTCACCACTGGACGTCAAAAAAAAAAATTGTGCTGAATTCATTCATTGTAAATATTTAAAACATCAGCGTGTAACATCTGCAAATTTAACCTAAAATTATGGTTATTTAATTTTATTAAAATGCAGATTAGGAGCCACGAGCGTCAGTCAGGAGAACATAAGTAAGTTTATTTAGGTACAGGTACACAAAAGTAGTCATCATATATAGTGGCATATATTGTAACCACGAACGAGTGGTATTTAATCAATAACAACACTACGGCTAACCGGGGGATCGAACCCGTGTTGCGTGATCTTTGTAGGATTGTATAGTCCAGTGGGTTAGAGCGTCGTGAATTTTCGCTCACCATGAGGCGAGCTAAAACAACACGGGTTGGATCCCCCGGCTAGTCGCAGTGTTTTTATTGATAGTAACATATGTGTAAATCACCTAGGATAACCCCAAAGTCAAAGTAACTTCTTTCCACTTGTTAGCTGCTGCTACTGCTGGGTATAATCTTACAAACTTTCCCACCCTTCATTAGCCACTGATCGCCGTGCTAAAAGTTCAGATTTGAAGCCTCGCGTCAACAAGTTGTCCTCTGCCCAACACTCCAATATTTCCAGGCACTAAGTGAGTGTTAGGGCGCTAGCCGGAGGGTGAGGGAGGAGCCCTGAACCACACACCTCACGTTACTGGCTTTCCCCTCCCACACCGCAGCCAGTCACATATATGTGGATTTATGGAGCTCTGTGATTGGCCGGGAAGGACGCCAACGGAGCCCTGCGACTGGCTAAACCAGAACCCCCGGTGGGGTCGTGATTGGCGGGTCAGGACGCAGGCAAGGATGCGACATCCTGATGACATCTGCGGTGTAATATAACAGTGAGACTGTCAAGGTGTTGAATGAGAGGCGGCTTGACTAGTGAGGCAGACGGAGTAGCAGCACTCTGGCGACCGCATCTCTCAAACTTATCTCCATTACCTTTAGTGTATTCTCGTGAAAAACACACACACAGTGGCGTATACGCTTTTGGATTTACCCGCAAACACCGCTTCTCCAAACGGCACCGCCGCGGCTTTACGACAAAATGTTGAAAACGGAGAATGTGCAAAAGATGGTGAGTTCTGAAGGTTGCGGCAAGATCAAGACGGAGGTGCTGCAGCAGCAACAGCAGCAGCAACACCAGCATCAGCAACAGCAACAGCAACAGCAACATATGAGCACATCTTCAGGAATGGAAGCATCAGTCATTCTTGAAGACTGTGAGTTGTGGACACGCTTCCAAGCACTCACTAATGAGATGATTGTTACTAAGTCTGGCAGGTTAGTTGTCACCATCATGCTGCCTCATCTTACTCTTACTTCTTACTGTATGGCTCTTATTGTGTGGCTCTTACTATGTGGCTCTTCTTACTGTGTGGCTCTTCTTACTGTGTGGCTCTTCTTACTGTGTGGCTCTTCTTACTGTGTGGCTCTTCTTATTGTGTGGCTCTTCTTACTTTGTGGCTCTTCTTACTGTGTGGCTCTTCTTATTGTGTGGCTCTTCTTACTGTGTGGCTCTTCTTACTGTGTGGCTCTTCTTATTGTGTGGCTCTTCTTACTTTGTTGCTCTACTTACTGTGTGGCTCTCCTTATTGTGTGGCTCTTCTTATTGTGTGGCTCTTCTTACTGTGTGGCTCTTCTTACTGTGTGGCTCTTCTTATTGTGTGGCTCTTCTTACTTTGTTGCTCTTCTTACTGTGTGGCTCTTCTTATTGTGTGGCTCTTCTTATTGTGTGGCTCTTCTTACTTTGTTGCTCTTCTTACTGTGTGGCTCTTCTTATTGTGTGGCTCTTCTTACTTTGTTGCTCTTCTTACTGTGTGGCTCTTCTTATTGTGTGGCTCTTCTTATTGTGTGGCTCTTCTTACTGTGTGGCTCTTCTTACTGTGTGGCTCTTCTTACTGTGTGGCTCTTCTTATTGTGTGGCTCTTCTTACTGTGTGGCTCTTCTTACTGTGTGGCTCTTCTTATTGTGTGGCTCTTTCTTACTGTGTGGCTCTTCTTATTGTGTGGCTCTTCTTATTGTGTGGCTCTTCTTACTTTGTTGCTCTTCTACTGTGTGGCTCTTCTTATTGTGTGGCTCTTCTTACTTTGTTGCTCTTCTTACTGTGTGGCTCTTCTTATTGTGTGGCTCTTCTTATTGTGTGGCTCTTCTTACTGTGTGGCTCTTCTTACTGTGTGGCTCTTCTTACTGTGTGGCTCTTCTTATTGTGTGGCTCTTCTTACTGTGTGGCTCTTCTTACTGTGTGGCTCTTCTTATTGTGTGGCTCTTCTTACTGTGTGGCTCTTCTTACTGTGTGGCTCTTATTGTGTGGCTCTTCTTACTTTGTTGCTCTTCTTACTGTGTGGCTCTTCTTATTGTGTGGCTCTTCTTATTGTGTGGCTCTTCTTATTGTGTGGCTCTTCTACTGTATGGCTCTTATTGTGTGGCTCTTTACTAGGTGGCTCTTCTTACTGTGTGGCTCTTCTTACTGTGTGGCTCTTCTTACTGTGTGGCTCTTCTTATTGTGTGGCTCTTCTTACTTTGTTGCTCTTCTTACTGTGTGGCTCTTCTTATTGTGTGGCTCTTCTTATTGTGTGGCTCTTCTTACTGTGTGGCTCTTTTTACTGTGTGGCTCTTCTTATTGTGTGGCTCTTCTTACTGTGTGGCTCTTCTTACTGTGTGGCTCTTCTTACTGTGTGGCTCTTCTTATTGTGTGGCTCTTCTTATTGTGTGGCTCTTCTTACTGTGTGGCTCTTCTTAGTGTGTGGCTCTTCTTACTGTGTGGCTCTTCTTACTGTGTGGCTCTTCTTTTTGTGTAGCTCTTCTCACTGTGTGGCTCTTACTTCTTACTGTGTGACTCTTACTTCTTACTATGTGGCTCTTACTGTTGCTTCTTAATTTAACAGTGTTAATGATGTTACTTAATATATGGGTATTACTGTTGTTAATATATGAGTGTTATTGTTGTTAATATATGGGTTTTACTGTTGTTAATATATTGGTGTTACTGCTGTTAATATATGGGTGTTACTGTTGTTAATATATGGGTATTACTGTTGTTAATATATGAGTGTTATTGTTGTTAATATATGGGTATTACTGCTGTTAATATATGGGTGTTACTGTTGTTAATATATGGGTTTTACTGTTGTTAATATATGGGTGTTACTGCTGTTAATATATGGGTGTTACTGTTGTTAATATATGGGTATTACTGTTGTTAATATATGGGTATTACTGTTGTTAATACATGGGTGTTACTGTTGTTAATATATGGGTATTACTGTTGTTAATATATGGGTATTACTGTTGTTAATATATGGGTGTTACTGTTGTTAATATATGGGTATTACTGTTAATATATGGGTGTTACTGTTGTTAATATATGGGTATTACTGTTGTTAATATATGGGTATTACTGTTGTTAATATATGGGTATTACTGTTGTTAATATATGGGTGTTACTGTTGTTAATATATGGGTATTACTGTTGTTAATATATGGGTGTTACTGTTGTTAATATATGGGTATTACTGTTGTTAATATATGGGTGTTACTGTTGTTAATAAATGGGTGTTACTGCTGAATATATATGGTCGTTACTGTTGTTAATATATGAGTGTTATTGTTAATATATGGTCGTTACTGTTGTTAATATATGAGTGTTACTGTTGTTAATATATGGGCTTTACTGTTGTTAATATATGGGTGTTACTGTTGTTAATATATGGGCGTTACTGTTGTTAATGGGTGTTACTGTTGTTAATATATGGGCGTTACTGTTGTTAATATATGGGTGTTAATGTTAATATGTGGGTGTTACTGTTAACATATGGGTGTTACTGTTGCTAATATATGGGTGTTACTGTTAATATATAGGCGTTACTGTTAATATATAGGCGTTACTGTTAATATATAGGCGTTACTGTTGATAATATATGGGTGTTGCCGTTAATATATGGGTGTTACTGTTGCTAATATATGGGTGTTACTGTCAATGTATAGGCGTTACTGTTAATATATGGGTGTTACTGTTAATATATAGGCGTTACTGTTAATATATGGGTGTTACTGTTGTTAATATAGGAGCGTTGCCGTTGTTAATATATGGGTGTTGCCGTTGTTAATATATGGGTGCTTCTGTTGTTAGTTGATATGTGAGTGTTACTGTTGTTAATATATGGGTGTTATTGTTGTTAATATATGGGTGTTACCATTGTTAATATATGGGTGTTACTGTTGTTAGTTAATATATGGGTGTTATTGTTGTTAGTTAATATATAGGTGCTAGTGTTGTTAGTTAATATATGGGTGTTACTGTTGTTACCTACTACCTGGAGGGTGTTCTGGGGTGTCAACTCCCCCGCGGCCCGGTCCATGACCAGGCCACGCTGTGGATCGGGGCCTGATCAACCAGGTTGTTACTGCTGGCCGCACGCAATCCTACGTACGAACCACAGCCCGGCTGGTCAAGTACTGACTTTAGGTAACTTTCCAGTTTCCCCTTGAAAACAGTCAGGGGTCTATTGGTATTATTGTTTATATACGCTGGGAGGCAGCTGAACAGTCTTGGGCCCCTGACACTTTAGTGTGTTTTCTTACTGTGTACTCAAGACACTCGTACTTTCGGCACCGTCTGCCGAGTCTTTTGCTTTCGTGGGGAGTGATTTTTATGTGACGATTTGGGAAAAGCTCCTTTAGGATTCCCACCTGGAGTATACCTGGAGGGTGTTCCGGGGATCAACGCCACCGTTGCCCGGTCCACGACCAGGCCCCCCCGGTGGATCAAGGCCTGATCAACTAGACTGTTATTTCTGGCCGCATGTAGTCCAATGTACGAACCACAGCCCGGTTGATCCAGTATTGAATTAAAGTATCTGTCCAGCTCCCTCTTGAAAGCAACCAGGGGTCTCTTGGTAATTTCCCTTACGGCTGGTGGGAGTAAATTATGATGCATCTTTCTCGCCTGCGTTTCAAGGAGTACATATCAAGAAACTTCAAACGGTCCTAGTAATTAAGGAGCTTCACTGTACTTTCACCTGCAGAGAAGGTTCTCTGTGCAATCTTCAGGTCTGCAATTTCCCCTGCTTTAAAAGAAGCTGTTTTATACAGAGTATTCCAGCCTGGAGAAGACAAGTGACTTAAATGGGATCATCATTGACTAGTTTTGAAGGTTCTCATTATCACTCCTATTATTGTCCTCTCAGTTGTGATAATGACTCTGTTGTGATCCTTGAAGGTGAGATTCTCTTACAATATCACTCCTAAGGCCTGCGCATTAGCTTTTCCACTGTATTGACTGGTTAGAATTTTTTTCAGACTGCAATCTAGCTTTTATTTCCTCACGTTTTCCACAGTTAACTGAAATTAGTCATCATTGAACTTCATATTGTTTTCTGCGGCCCAATGGCAGACTTGGCTTATATCCGCTTGGATATTTACAGTGTCCTCAGTGAATGACACTCTGAAGTAAATTCTAGTATCGACTGCAGTGGAAGACACGGTGCTATGGGTTACGTCCGTCCTTGTTAGATATGAGAACGAAGAACTGCGTGGGAGCGAGTACTGTGCCTAGCGGAACACAACTTTTCACTGCGGCAGCTTCCGACTTAACTCTGTTTACGATTATTCTTTGTGTTCTATTTCTTAGAAAGTTAAAGTTTCATACTGTTGTTAGTTAATGTATGAGTGTTACTGTTGTTAGTTAATATATGAGTGTTACTGTTGTTAGTTAATATATGAGTGTTGCGGTTGTTAGTTAATATATGAGTGTTACTGTTGTTAGTTAATATATGAGTGTTACTGTTGTTAGTTAATATATGAGTGTTGCGGTTGTTAGTTAATATATGAGTGTTACTGTTGTTAGTTAATATATGAGTGTTGCGGTTGTTAGTTAATATATGAGTGTTACTGTTGTTAGTTAATATATGAGTGTTACTGTTGTTAGTTAATATATGAGTGTTACTGTTGTTAGTTAATATACGAGTGTTACTGTTGTTAGTTAATATATGAGTGTTACTGTTGTTAGTTAATATACGAGTGTTACTGTTGTTAGTTAATATATGAGTGTTACTGTTGTTAGTTAATATACGAGTGTTACTGTTGTTAGTTAATATACGAGTGTTGCTGTTGTTAGTTAATATATGAGTGTTACTGTTGTTAGTTAATATACGAGTGTTGCTGTTGTTAGTTAATATACGAGTGTTACTGTTGTTAGTTAATATATGAGTGTTACTGTTGTTAGTTAATATACGAGTGTTACTGTTGTTAGTTAATATACGAGTGTTGCTGTTGTTAGTTAA